GGTCCGCGACAAAACAGAACCGATGCGAATAGAAGTAACAATAGCAGGCAGCCATGATTTTTATTTAAGGATCAAACAAGCTTTCTTACAATCCAGCCTTGACCACTGAACAGCGCCCCAGCACATAGGGCAGGGTTCACCTTGCAATGACATCTGAGGTTTAACAGAGTTTGCTTGGAACTGATGCAGACCGAATCTTATAGCGCCGGCTCTGTGGACAAACACCTACTTACTGACCTATGCTAAACATGCTGCCATGCGAATCAGCATGCAAACTGCACAGGCCTGCGATGCTCACAATTCTCGCGCAGGCTTGCCAGCCACAACCCCCCCCCCTCTTTTGCAAATTGTGATAAAGCTTCCCCCACCAGACGCCCAAGACCTGCCTCTCTCTACATCTCTCTATTTATCGGTCTTCCTACATCATACTGATTCTCAAAGTAACGTTTCGAAGGTGTTATGAGAGCAGAGGGGCAGGTAGTAAAGAGCTCGCACTCGGAGAGATCGTGCGAACCCAGGGCCTGCTTGCAGAAGGACTTCAGAGTTCATGGCTTCGGGACTCCAGCCTAGGGGCTCAGCGTTCGGGTCTTGATTTTTCGAGCCTTGGAGGACTGCAGTCTCCCACTGCGTGCATGAGGGAGTTGATCGATAAGATAATGAATCATAAAACAGAACCCTGGGTTTGGAGTTTAGTAAGTTTAAAGCCTTCGAGTGTGGACTTTGGTTCCCTGAACCACAGGAGGCCTCGCAGATATGTCTTGGAGCTTCGGTGAAGTCGAGGATGGGCTCTTCAGGGTACCCGTGTCCATCACCGACCCTAGGAACTAAAGTCCAAACGCTAAGAAGTAAATTATTTCCGGGTAAAACTCAGCCCCAGCCCTGAAGCACCAAGTGGTCTGCTTCTCTCTTTACAAAGGGAAGGCGTGACAATGTGGGGGGTTCAGAGCTCCGAAGAGAATCTTACAAGCTCGAAGAAGCCCACAGGCCCCAGCCTGGCAAGCTTGTTGGATGGCATTCATCTCTGCGTGGCAACAGGGGTCTCCCCTGACCAGCTGATGTCTGATCCGTTCCGGGTTTGGCAGATTTTTCTTTGACAAAAGGTTCTCCTGTAAGAACTTCGGGCATCCATCATCACGAGCTCCGCGCAAAACAAGTACAGAGAGGGAATCCTTGAAACAACTCACGTCTAATCCTCCGGCACTATGCAGGATGGCCCCAGCCTGTGGAGCACCATGTTGTGAGCGCAAGAGATAATCACGCCGTCCCGAACCACTGCGGCACCAAACGGGCCTCCCGAATGCTTCACTGCAGGATCAAGACCTATGGCCCGCCAAATCAAGATGACAAACAGCTCAGCAAGGGGGGAACACTGCATTATGAACCAAGAGCCCGAATCTTCGATTCACAACACTGAGGTTCTTCCGTACCTACTCTGAAACTGCCAGTATATTTCATGCAGACAGCACAAGATTGTGTAGGAATGCATCGACAGCTCAACAACCCCAATTGCCAACTCTAGCAGCATCGAGACAACTTTCAAAAACACGATATGTACGTCCTCCACACGCAAAGCGACCCCAAATCGTAAACTCCGTTGACCGGGAGAGACCCACAGCAAGGCTTGAAGCCGACGTCCTCCATGCTGCAACCGAATGCCGGCCAAGGCGGACATCGCCTCGGAATGCGAGAGTGCTTGGAGGCCCAGGAGTTTGATGGGACTTGAGACACTGGGGCGGTGATTTGGAACAGAGCAGCGACAGTGCTACAATTCCTACATACCGCGCTGGAAGCACCAGGACACGAGGAATCAAATCAATGCCTAGGCGATCGCACCCCAATCGATTATCTGCCACTGGTAGCATCCGTTTGTCCTAAACGTAAGCCTTAACCCTGAAGACTCCTTTTGCTTCAAAGCTGTGAAACAGAAATCACAGCACCCACGCGCTAAACGCTTACCTGCGCAAGCCTAAGTCCTTGTTCTGTGGCAAAAGCCCAGCACAATACACTCACCCTTTCCAGAAATTCACTCCAAGCTAGTGGCAGTTCGTAAACTCGTGGATTTGAAGGCTTTTCCTTTTCCTTCCAAAGCCTGAAGGTCTTCTCAAAGCAGGGTGGCTGCAGCCCGCATGAAGGACTCCGCGATCTCGCGCTCTGTGGCCTCAGCCTGGCCAAGCAAAGAACGAGACTTGATGTGTTACATTTTACACTTACTTCGAACACCTCTTATCATTTATTACTTCTAATAGCAAACAGAACGACAGTTTCACATGTCAGAGGCTGACTTCGGGTAATGTTAACTATTAACACGATTACCTATATCTATCTTTCTGTCTGTTTTCAATCCATCTACCTATCTGGGGGTTTGCGTGTCGGCGCGGCTGTGGAAATCCAAAACGACAGAGTAGAAATTTACACGCTCACACGTGTGAAATGTGCGTGCTTGTACATAATAGGTTGGTGTCAAACAAATTATCACGATCACCAGGTCACGATCACTAAAGCTTACAGCTGCTCAAAGTAATCACAACAATCATTGTTGCCATTCGTGGTAGTGGCAGTGGTGGTGTTAGTGGTGGTGCTAGTAGCAGTAGCAGTAGCAGCAGGAGTAGCAGCAGGAGTAGCAGTAGCAGCAGCAGTAGCAGTGGCAGTGGCAGTGGCAGTGGCAGTGGCAGTGGCAGTGGCAGTAGCAGTAGCAGTAGCAGTAGCAGTAGCAGTAGAAATAGTAGTAGTAGTAGTAGTAGTAGTAGTAGTAGTAGTAGTGGAAAGTAGTAGTAGTAGTAGTAGTAGTAGTAGTAGTAGTAGTAGTAGTAGTCGTAAGTAGGTGGTACAGCAGGCACATGTAGGAGAATGCACATCAGTCTCTCCCGCTTTCCTTATTGAACCATCTACATTGTGAGGACTTTATCTCCCTAGTTGCGCCGCAAAGAAACGTACACTTCCTGCATTCTTTATAGGGCATAGAGCGCTGGCTGAGTAATTAAGCATTCGCGTGAGTCTGGGAGCCTGGGCTCGCAGAACAAAGCCTTGTGGGCAAATAGTGCTGGTTGGTACTCGACTGCGAACCATGGCAGCAATCAATAGTTGGCAGTATGACATCTGATGATCTCCCGCTAGTTCAACAAGTTGACAAGCCACTATTCACAGTAGCCTGAGGTCTCACACGGAGAGACTAGGGCAGCTCATGCAAGTTTTAGGACTTGAAGTAAGAACAGCAGCCCATGTCAGCAGCTCATTTAAGCAAACCTGCGAGCACAATCACGAAGCACATCTTAACCGCAAATATGGTCTGGGGGCCTTGGTTGTCTGGCAGGAGACGAGCTGCCGCTTTGGTCGTGCATGCCGGCTGCCTGTCTACGATAGGGTGTCCGCCTGGATTCTTTTGGCTAGTTCGGCCTGCATTCGCTCATGGTCGAAGTAGAGCTTAGAGCCTAGTTGAGGGTTCGGGAGGGGTTGAATACTTGTCGGCTGAGAAGTTGAAAGCGCCGATAAACGCATATATCCCCTCGACAACATAAACTGAATGACTGTCGATGGAGTAGCCGCTCATTATGGATCCACTTTCGTTTGCTATCACTGGCTTAACAATTCTCAATTTAGTTTGCAAGCAGGAGCTTGGTAATCTGCAGCTTCTAAAAAGAAGCCTTGTAGAAGCAGTCCTAGAACCCATCCCAAAAGGTCCTACAATAAATCCAGACATCTCAGAGCATGGTTTCAAAGCATTTTCTACTGGGTGTGGGGGAGAACGGACAGGCAATCGTTTCTAGATGTCCAGATCAATTGGACTAATCCAACAGTCTTCACATGATCATCAACCCAGTACAGCCCCTGTGAAGTCCCACACTCCAAGGCCGTCAATACTCTATCAACCCAGCTGCTAAACTCTGTGAACACAGCGTCCTGCGGAAGACCTTTCCACGGCGCAAGCATACCGTGCCTGAGCTGCTGCGGTCGGGCAAAAGCCCCGGCAGTGCCGCGGCGGCGGCTACCAGGGCCGGAGGGCGCAGGGCGCCTCAGAACGAGAGGAGCCGAGGTTCGATTTCCGGTCTTGCGTCATGCAGCGTCGACTTCGGAACTGAAAGTCTTTGAAGTAGTGGCGAGTCCAGGGGGGCGTGGGTCTCACAGTTTCGGTCCACGCATCTCTCATGCCAATGTCTCAAGCATCTTTCGTCTTGCCTGTTTGATCCGAGCAGCCTGTGAACTTCCCCCCATTTCCCCCTGGGCAAAACTGCCGCACCTGATCTTAAAAAGATCGCGCGCCAAATCCGGAACTCCTCTGTTTCCGTAGGTACTTGCTTGTCGGTGTTTGTTGCCTTCTCAAGGCACTTCGGTTTTGGTTTGGCTCTGTGCGCACCAGAGCGGCTCGCCGAAGATGAAAGCATTGATCCACTTTGAACCGACTTGAAGGTCGGCTGCATGAGTAAGCGTTGATCAACAAAGGGAAGAGAGGGGGGGCTCTGTAATATTAACCGATCAGGCTGCAGGCAGCAATGATAAAACAAAAATCATACTGCAAGTAGCATTCGTTGGAATTGGAACCGCTAGGCACACCGGACGTAAGGCTCCCGGCCCTGCAGTCGGGACCACATGACAGCAGTCAGGCTCCACCAACGGAATGCTGTCAAATCGGGTGTACGAGCCCAGAGCGACGAATGGCGGGCGAAGCTCTCAAGGTCAAAGGTTTCAGGTTTAGGGAGTGCTTTCTTTTTTTACGAAGCAACTCGCATAATCACATCGTCACGACAAGCTACTGTTGTGGCACCTGCCTATTGACAATCTAGGCACTTGGCGCGCGAGATTCCCCCGTACACTGCATATACTAAGTTACTAGCGCAAGCTAGCAGAGCCTTCACCTTTTGCAGCGACGTGTCTATGCTTGCATGATCCTGTGAACCCTATTTGTTTATGATGCGACTCCTAACACTGAACAAGCTGGAAGGTGCCCTTGGCCTTGGGCAGAAACCCACAAGCCCACCCCCCCTCCCCCGCAACCCCAACCAGGCCTCATAGAGGGAGTCGCGGTGCTGGATGGCCAGGTCTTCCTTCAAGCGCTTTTGTACCTTCATTTTCGGTGCAGAGCTGTGTGAACAATCCAAAGTCAAAGCTAATCGTGCACCAAATGTTTCCAGAGGAAACCTATTTCAGTATCGCCGCAGTCCTGTTGAGCAGGGTGGGTTTTGAATGTGCCGGGTCGATGCCGGACAAACCTTTGCGGGAGGCTGGGGTATTCATGGCTTTGAGTGTAGAATTTCATGTGCTGCATGCCTATAATTCCTACCATGCAGTGTAGCAAGTCCGAGTAGCAGTGTCCCTTCCTCTGAGTAGAACCACAAACCACAAACCCAAAACGGTAGCAAGTTTTCCTAAAAGAGTTTGCAGCTGCAGATGCATCTGGGACAACTTGGTTAGACGGAAAGTACGGGTCGGAGGTCAGGTGATGCTCCGAAGAGCAAGTTGTGGCTAGCGGCTAGCAATTAGAAAACATCAGCATCGTTACCTTTGCACACAGCCATGTTCCGGATTCCGTGATTGCTAAACGCCCATACAGCCTGTGCCGGAATTAGAGGTGCTTGAGACATACATCAGGCTTCGATTTTTTGGGTTTACATGCGTAGTTGCGGCTTATCTGCGATCCGAAACCGCTAAACACCACCCAGCAAACAAAAAAATGGACGCCTTAAGGCCTGAAAGATTACACCCTGAAGAACTGCACGCCTGGTTCCAACCAGTGCTATCGTCATGCGAACATGACCAATACGTTTAACAATTGCCTCTTTTCGGATGATGACAATTACAAAGCCGACTACCCGGATCATTGCCGTTACTGTTGCTGACTAGTCTTGTCACCTTTGACAGTCGTCGCTGCTTTTTGCGCTTCGGTCTCGCTGGCTTCGATCCAACGCAAAGTGCAGAATGAACAACGGGCCACTGCTCAGGGCCCATCTGTTAGGATGATTCAGGGTTTGACAGAGTTGGCAGGTTTTCAGCTTCGGGTTTTCGCGTTTCAGTTTGGGGTTGCGGGAGTGTAGGTAGGTGGGCGTAGCCTGTACTTTGCCATGATTTGAGGGTTGAGGGATCCAGAGCATTGAGGCTCCTTTGGAACTTTATAGCATTATAATCGAGGGCTCCAAATTCACAGTGCTCGGAGGTTGGGAGTTGCGGCATCGGCAGCCACCATGTCGCTCCTGCAAGAGCATTGGCATATACACTGCAGAAGAATCTCCGCGGTCCCACACCAGCACGTGCAGCCGGCACCATGTGACAGAAACCATCACGCGGGTAACTTGGCCCGCGAACCAAAGTTCAACTCCAGTGGCCCAAGCAGGACATCAGGGCGGGAGAGCCGCAGCCATGGCGGAAGAAGAGCCACAACCCTTTCCTCTGGAAGGGCCTCCGGCTGGGACCGGACGACAAAGCTGGTCCAGACTGGGATTTTCTGCTTCGATTCCAGGCAAGCTCCAGGATCGTGAAAGCGTGCCGTGCCCCCCTGCTCTGCAGAGGCGAGCGATCTGCCAATCGCTTCTCCAATATAGGCTCTGTCGGGAAGTGGAAAGTCGCCGCGCCGTCCGGGTTGGGTTACAATGGGCAGAAGTCATCGTCGGAGTGGCCGAAGCTCTTGGAGTAGACCTGCGCACGTGAAGAAGGCACTCCGGCTTGGGCTTCTTGAACTGTTTTTGTAACGGGCAGGACGTAGCTCCCTTCTCCGAGATTCTTGTGCGGTGTTATGATGTGCTACTGCCGACAAGCCGCTGCCCCGACAACCTCAGCTCAACATGAAACTGCTTGCAAGATGCGATGCAGGCAACTAGTGCGGTTCCAAGCATAAGCTCGGCTTGAAACATTTTGAACAAGGGCTTATGCGGCCGAAGCCAAGTGGCCGTCCTGGTTTCGAAGAAGTTGGGGCATGATCGGTCCCTGACTTCTGCAAGAGGGATGTAGAAAGCGGTCCTGGCAGGACGGGTTTAATCTTTGTGAAACTTCGCCGATGATGAAGGTTCCTGCTTACCGGCTTACCAATTCATGAGTACAAGTACGTCCCTCCTGTCACAAACAAGCCATGTATAGGAAGCACATGTCCATCCTTCTGCGACAGGACAACCTGTTAGAACGGAGCAGCCTTGAAAGTCAAACAAGGAGTTCAATTTCACCATCGATCTGGAAAAGCCAATCCGATGCTCTGTCTAACACGGTTTCATAACATCTATGAGCCGGAAAGCCTCAGGCACAAGCCACCATCTGTGCTCTGAACGCCCGAACATGTAGCTGGTTGCTAGAAAAAGACGAGATGACGAGTGGAACTATAAAACTACATGATGCTACATAAGGCTCATGCGCTCCATTGTTGCGAGTGGAGAGTAGGATCGAGGCAGCACGTGTGATTGTCCAGCCTGTTCAGCAGCTGCATATGTCGTTCAGACTTGAAGAACTCGTTGGCATCTGCAAGCCTCACGTCTCCACAGTCAATGCTTGGTTACACTAACTCTGCCAAGCATCACAGAAATAGCAGAAACACAGTGCAGGGGAACATCGCCGCTCCAGCTTCTGCACTCTCTGTCAGAGAAGCAGGCGACATCATGCTCGTGCCGACTCCAGCCCGGCGACAGAGACCCTAACCAGGCGGAGCCAAGAAGGGATGCTCACGGTCCCAGGTGATTCTGCGAGACAAGCAGCTGTTTCTTGTGGTCCAAGACAAACTGGAAGTATGCCTCGTCGGGCATCTGTGATGCGCTCTCAATCCGATCCGCATCATGTGAGATCTGCTTCCAGTTTGATCAAGGTGTACAAAAGATGGCACGCCCGCTAGCTCACAATGCTGTCATGTCTCAACTCCCCCAGAAGGATGGGTTTTTAGAATTCGTCTTGATGCTTTAAGAAGCTTCCCCCGTCCCCTGCACGAAAATGAGGAGATGCGGCCAGGATGCTGGGCGAATAGACTCTTGCCGGGCAAGGCAGCGTGAGTCCAGCGGCAAATCCGCGGCCTAAAGAAAGGTACCGCGACTCACTTGCTAAAGGGCGAAAGGTGATCCAAATTCTATACGTCGTCGGACGTGCTGTCACTGACGCTGATATCCGACCTCACTGATGCTGCAACCAAAACCCCACATTCGCATTGGCAGATATCTGCGCCTCAAACATCCGCTTCACCTTGCTCGAGTGGCCTCAGTGGTCGCGTTGCTAATCTAGGCGTCGCATGGTGGGGTGCCCGGACTCTGCCATGCAGCCACTAAAACAAGAAGGCTCCAGATCTGAAAGAACAATCGCTGGCCGTAGCTCATGGGCGGCCGAGGGTCCGTCGCCGAGGCTGCCACCAGGAATGTGGCACTGCCTTGGGAACTGAACTTAAGGCTAAGATGTTTTAAACATCTCTAAATTTAGAGATCAGGGTTCGAGGACCTTCTGGCTTAGGGCGTGGAAAAGCTGGATGTTCAACATCCAGGGTGATGGCACAAACAATACAAGCAGCCACAGTCGCAACGGTTTTTTTATACCCGTACTGGCAACATAACAAGTATGACCACACCCGGAAGAGCATTCTTGATTCATGATCGTAACCGGAGATGCTGACAAAAGGGAGACCAGCAACGATAGGTGAAATGATAGGGCTGAAAGGGATCAGGGATATGACAGAACTGAGAGGCTTCGATTGGCGAGCGCGGAAGACCCCAAGGGACCCATCTCCAAACTGCGACCTTCAATTCACGGCCAATGATCGAGGAAAGGAAATCCTCACGGCATGCAGAGTGTGTCTTCCAACTTAGTCGCAGGGTCATTGCCTGAACACATCGGTAAAGGCATCGGGCTAATCATGCTCTCAATACGACTAACCGCACGAAGCTGCACATCGCCCTCGAAGCAGCAAATGATCTCCTGGCCGCCCGCCATGCACATCATGTTTGTTTTGCTGACCTCCGAGGGATCCAAGTATATACTTTAATGGGAAAATACCTCGCGCGGGGTTGGAGTTGTACTAGATTTTCGTCTTTTGGACTGAAGCCCCACACCCACACCAAGCCCCAATGTATACATACATATATATATATATGTATATATATATATATATATATACATATGTATATCGAAACCCAACACCAACACCTCGACTCGTAAACCCAAATCATAGGCTAACTCGAGGAAGCCTGCAGCTCTTCAGAGTTGGTGAAATCCAAGGAAAGGAGCGGGGTCTCAACGAAAATCCAGGTCTTCGCAATTAGAGTTCGGGAGTGCCTGACTTGAAAGAACTTGCAGTCTAAACAGTTTCACCTTGCAAGTCTTCTGCGCATCATGCATTTTCAGCTTTGGGCCTTCCTCCCCAAGCTTTGAATTCACCAAAACGGCATTAACGAACGATGCTCTTCAATTCCTACACGGTTTTAAACCTTAAGACAGTTGTCAGAAGGTCCTTGCTGCGATCTTCTGGAGGGCAGTGCTTCGATATGGCTTGCTTGGCGAGCGTCCAGGCTACTCCGTGGTAGGCGCTGCCCTGCCCGGCACCAGGCATTGAAGCTCGGCGGTTGCGGATTGTAGTAATACCCGTTTAGGCGTTTGGAGCTTGCGGCTCAGGGGTTGGGGGTCTAGACATAGGGGCCGAGCCACACATCTACCAAACAAATACGGCCAGTAATGCAAGCGGTTGTGCACCTGTGACGGAAGTTCAGGTCCAGGGCAGCAACCAGCAGAAGGTCCATCAGCTTGACACCACAAAACACCCCTTAGAGAATGAGGCTGCCACGGCGCCATTGTTCAAATCTCCAAACCGGTCAACAAAAACACCCCGTGGAGGCCACCTAGTTCCTGTGCGGCGGAGTGCCTTCTTCCCACCCAGTAGTAGGGAAGCTTGGAACGAGCCACTGCCTCGTGAAACACCATACAGGAAAAACGCCGCCAGCACAATCCATGCTGGAATCCCGGGCTCCAAGGAAGGATAGCTCCTTTGATTTCTCATCATGGATCATGCTTTCTTTCCCGCCATGACCAGTACTGTTCTCTCCATTGATCTGACTGCTCTTGCCATCATCCTTGGTCGCATGTGCGGTTACGCCATTCTTGCTGGGGCCGCTGC